CACACACACACACACAGACACACAAAAATACACCCAGGCTGTACATACACTTTCATATTATTACTTTTGTTTAACACACCCTTTCTTCGCCGTACGCAAATTTGTTTCATGTGTGGGAGAAACTATATAGGAATTAAATTACAATGAACGAGCGTTATTGCTGTTCTCAGAGGCTCAGTCTGAACCAAAAACAGCAACAAAAAACATTTCTGTATTGAGCCCCGGTCTTACAATCAATTCTATATAACTGCGGCGCTCGTCCCTACCATTCAGCAAAAGAGACACAAAATTAATAATTTTTACTTTAAATTGGAAATCAGAATGCTCTGATTCAATCTGGCTATAATATGTGTCAGTCAGTAATGAGATCGTGTGTGTTGGGAGAATGCCCATGACTTACGCTTATTCTTAGAGGGGCCTGCGAAATAGTGCGTGAACTGCTGCTAGTCAAAGGAGAACATTATTAGCTGTGAGGACACGAAGCGAAGCGAGACAGTCAACAGGATTTCCACTCATATTGGGGATTATAGAGGCTTGCCTTTTTTACCAGACGTTCTCCGGAGCACAAGTCTCCTGTAAGCCCTTAGGCAGTCTGTTAATATTTGTGATTACGTCAAAGTGCTTAGAGCGAAGGGGGTGGTACTTTCAGGTCTTAATCTCGGTATTTCCTTTTAAATTTCCGTAGATTTTCCAATCTTTGAGGGCCTTTTTATCTCCTCGAAGATAAGTAACACGGTACAGTACGTCTTGTTGTTATCCTAGTGCTCACTGGTGTCTTTTAATCACTTTGTCTTCATTTTGTTTGTCTGTCTGTCCCTCTATCGTTTTGTGAGAACTAAATTACAGTTTGTTAGATGTCTGTTTTATCTTTTTCAATTTGCAGGAAGACCCTTTGGTGGATGCTGGAAAGGAGAGATGAGCAGCTATGGACATGTGCTGCCTGCTATGATTCTAGCTCTGGATCCAAGTGATCCAAGTAATCATCTGCTCCCATCAATCAGTGTGTCTATTTGTTTATTTGCCGGTCTTCCTGTGTGCTTTAATGTGTGTCAAATGTCGGTTTTATCAACACATCGTACGGATCTTTATCGGAACTACTTCAACTACAAACCAATGACGACGACGACGACGACGACGACGATGATGATGATGATGATGATGATGATGATGATGATGATGATGATGATGATGATGGAAGATAGTAAGGATGCATGATGGCTATTTAACAATCCTAACTCAATTAGCACAAAGTATCAACCTCGAAATACCCAGCAGTAACAATGTAGATCATTATCAACTTGAGGTCAGTCGTCCCGCCCGCCCCCCACCTCCCCGAAAAAACCTTCTCCCATCCGATCCTCAAAACCTCTACACCACACCACAACCACCACCACCACCGACATCGTCACGATAAGCCCCCTGCACATGCAATCTCTCTTTGGGGCTAGAACAACAACAATTGCAGAAGCGATATAGATCTAGATCTACTGAAGACGGGAATAATGGCAGGGTGTGCCATAAAAAAAAGATTCAGGAGCAAACCGGCGGAGCCAACCAGCTGTGACGAGGCAGCAGCGCAGACGACTGGCAATGAAACAGACGGCTGGCGACTCGAAGTGACGAATTTCTAGTTGTTCAATTAATGAAGTCAAAGAGGTTAAATGATGTTAAATCATCACTGAGAACAGGTGGGGAGGGGTGGTTTCATTCTGAACCTGTGATTTGACGGCCTTTTTCTGCCCAGGAAAACATTGGGATGATGATGACATTGAAAAGAAATGGAAGTAACAAGTCACATTAAAGTCGCTATAAAGTTCTATCTGACATTTTTGGCCGTTTTGAATATAAGACCAAAAGGTTTAGAGACCCAATGTACTATTCTGCTCTATCATTATCAAGATATTCAAAGAATTTCATTCGAAAAAGTTTGACATGTGAAACTCAACATTTTTTACGTCAAATTTCTCTGACCTTAATAGTGGGTTCGGGGGTTCGAGCCTCAGCTCGGTCCGACTTTGTGTCTCTTTGGAGAAGCACTTTACACGAATTTCCCACTTAGCTCGGTCCTTTCGGAGATGGACTTTTAACTTGATGGCCCCGCTCTTAAATAACACAACAGTGTTTATAAAGGCGTTAAACCTTTTCCATTTCACCATTTTCCAACAGAATTTTGATAATTTAGGAGGTGGGCTTCTGACCCTGCCTTTCAGGGCAAACTTGGCAGAGGGGGATACAACATCCCAGCAGAAAGATCGAAATATCCGATAAAAATGTTCTCCTCACGATGGAATCCAACTCCGGTCTCCTGCATTGGATAGCGAGGCGCCTAACTGCTACACCACAGACACTGATGTCCATAATATATCTTTACATTATGTATTGTTTGCGCGTGTGTTTTTAGCTCGTTTGTTTGTTAGAACTAAGAAGACTTATTTAAAAAATTATGGCATTGAAAGGCTCTGGAACAGACAGGCACAACTGAGTGCAGAATTAATCAAGACAGCTGTGAAAAACCGAGACTTATATTAGCGATACCCCCCCCCCCCCCCCCCAGCTGCCCTTGCAACATTTTTAGAGGAAAGAACAGAACATCACCGAACATTTCAAAAGTCTAATATCCAGTGCCCATTAGGAGATCGGTTTTCTATCTTAAAACCGATCGCCCGACTAGCGGCCTTGAAAACAAGCGCGTTTGTTTTTGAGGGTCACCGTCGGCTTTGTTCGGTTTATGCCACGATGGTCGCTTTTCGCCCTCAACCTGGCTAGCCCCACCTACCAACCCGAATCAAACCAACTGATTGTGCCAATGGGCACTGATTTAAAACAACAAACCCCGACGAAACAGAAATTACTAGGCACCATTCAGCCTATTTTATAGAACTTACATTTCTTTTTCTTTAAGGATAGAAAGAATTATGACTTATCTTAATTCAAATGGCAGCGAACTTTGAAGTCCTGGGAACATGTCCTTCAGCAGAAGGAAATGCTTTCATTGACAATAACATCGACAAGCTGATCAAATTAAGTACTAAACCTAGAATGCGATATTTTTAAGGAAAGAGGGGGGGGGGGGGGGGGGGGGCTTGTCATTATTTTAACAATTGTACCTAAATTATATATTTTTCTTGCCTTTTCCAACATATTTAGAATTTGAATTTTAACAAATATATTTCTTGAGCCTATAGACAAACAATACAACAGATTAAGAGAATGTGTTTTTTTCTCTCAAAATGTTGGCTTTAATGCCTCTGAAAAACAGGCCCACGATGGTTAGTTTCGTTGTTGTTTTGTTTTTTAAGGTGGGGGGGGGGGGCATTTGTTCTTGTTGCTGTTGTTGCTGTTGATGGTGGTGGTTGTGGTTGTGGTGGTAGCAGTGTTGCTGGCTTTGTTTGTCTGGGTTGTTTTTGTTTGAGGGTTTTTTGGGTTGCTTTTTTGTTTTGCTTATTTGTTAAGTTTTTTATGTGGGTTTTTTTTCGTTAATCTTGCATAATCAAAAAATACATTGAACTTTCGGGGACAGGGAAGAGGGATGGGTATGCCTTCTGAACACCTATTAATGCTGTTTTCATTTCCCTCGTTTTCCTAACGAAATTTGGTCCAAACACTATTTCATGAAGTTTTATTGTTGTAGTCTACAAAAAACCACTTCAAGAACGTCGATATCAATCTGAATTGATCTTCAGAAAGATCCTCATTCAGATCAATACAAAATTATTGTCATTCCTCCAACATAAGTTCTGTCCCTTCGGCCTTCCATGTTATTGTGTTTCCTGGCAAATTGCATATCTTTTCCACACAAAAACGGGAAAGCAAAACCTACTAGAGCTAGGAATGCTCAAAAGTGTTTTACATCCAAATTCTTGGGAAGTCTAGAACTAGAAATATCTGCTGGCCTATCCTATAGCGGTTTTTTCCCAATTGCTTTATAATTGGGCTTTGGTTTCTCACTGTTGATTAACGTTTTTATTCCCTGCACATGATACAAAACAGATCAGATCATAACTCATAAATAAACGAGATTGCCTTGACCGGTTACCTCGAGAGACAATGCTAACACAGATGGGTTTTCAACTAAATGCGTTGTTTTATCAAGGGTGCCTGAAAGATTGATTGATCGTTCATAATTATTTTACACGGCTCATCAAGGCAATGTAGGCTTTGTAGGAAGCGGGCTGCTTCGGTCCTGCCTGCCAGGCCAATCCGAGACAAGTATAATATAGCGTTCCAGCGGACAGAGTCTTTGAACTAATCCGTGCTGTGTCGAGTGGGGCGTCAGTAACAACAGCAACAACAACGACGACAACAACAACAACATCAACAACAGCAGCAGCAATAACAACATCAACAACGACTACGACGACGACGACTATTAGATCTAGAACAAACACAAAAACAATATCATCATCAGCACAGGCAGCAAACGTCATCAGAATACTTAATTCCGTTTATCCCCCCCCCCCCCCCCAACTACCCGTCTTTTGTACAGGACGTTTACTATTTGCACGCTTCATTTGCAAGTTTTGAATGTGCGCATTCGCCCGGACGCTAGAAATCAATCGATCCAGTGTGGCGCATGGAATTGTAAAGCAATACATTGTTTTTAATGGCTTATGAATACGTCGCATTACAGTAGGCGGAGTGCCTGGTAAGTGCTCTAAGCCTCTCTCTCTCTTGGTCCTGTAGTCAGTAGTGGTCAGGGTAGCCACGCAAGAGACTCTGAGCAGACCCATAAAAAGATTTACATACAAATACATGTGACTAAAGTGATGGGAAGCTGAGGGAATTTCTAAGTCGAGGAAAAAAAAGAGTTTTCTTTTCACAACCCTGGAATGGTTTACCGTGAAGAGATACGATAATGTGAAGAACTATGTGTCTTTACGCGTAAGTGTGGCGTGGTGTGATTGTCTTTCGGAAGCGTAACGACGGTAACTAAGGACCAAATCTTCCTCGGCCAGTAGGCCATAATGAACCTGTAGTACTGAAGTTTCTTTGACCTAAAAAAAAAAAAAGTCTTTTAGATTAATTGTTTACCACTCATCCATTTTCTTGTTTCTTTTAAAGGTTTTGTTTTGCTTTTTGTTTTTGAAATAGCTTTGAACGCAACAGGTGTTCGTTCAAAGGCTTCAGTAAGGTCCTATACATTATGTGAGTGTTTTCTTCCATCTTCTTTTGTAAAAGCTACAGTGTGATAATATATTCCCACTTCCATCCTGCTCATTAAATCCCATAATGCATCAACAAATCAGAAAACATAACCAGTATTTTCTTACTTTGAACTTTTTATAAAATGTATGTTGCGTTTATGATGAAACTCTTTGCTTGTTATTATTTATATTTGTTCCCCACTATTGCTAAGTTTATTACAAACTTAACCAACACACGTGAGAGTTCGGAGGTCGATTTCGGATAGGGTCCAAAATGTTCTGGTCCTCTGGGCAGTATTTCTCCTATCAGCCCTTTGAGTTGACGGGTGGCCGAGTGCCTCCATATATATACAGCTCTAGATTTGTATCACAACACAGTGGGATCAAATGTTCGTCAATTTTCGACAATACTGAATTATTTATACAGTCCTAACGCTTGTTCGTTTGTCTTACTTTTGATTTTTTAAACAGTACCCGCCTATTTTAAACTGTAGTCGAGATCATATTTTGTAATTGAAGGAGGTGTGGATCGCTTGGTGTCAGGGGTAAAATTAGATAGAAAATGGCTGCCAAAGTTTGGTCACTCCCAAAGCTTAAGTGTTCTCGAAAACTGTAAAAAAATACATTTTGTGTGCCGTTAGTCGACATTTTCTATACATTTTCCCAGTAAAATCCATGCAGAGATGTGTTCTTAAATTTAAAATTCAAACAGTGTAGAGCCAAAAAAAAAAATCGGTACAAATCATACAACGGGCGTAAAGAACGTCGGTTTCTTCGATTTCAACATTCTGACGAAAGCCTGATTTTACCACCATAACACACATTTGCTTTCAGTCTCTGGGCCTATTTGCCTCGTAGACGTATTGCTTGACTCCTAGTATACAAAAGGCTGTTCCACCACTGTGAGCAGCCAATTTTATCATCCAGTTTTTCAGCATCTCAAACTTTTCTAAAACTTCCGCTCCTATTTAACCCATCTGCATAAAGTTAACTCAAACTCAAAACTAAATAGAAATGAATGACCCAAGTAGTACAACAGTTTGAATAATATGATATTTCAGATTTATTTGCTGGGTTCTGGTAGATTTTTGTTATGATTGTAAACCATCGAGTGATGCCGTGAGCAAGCTGAACTGGCGTGCCATAATATAGTAAGAGATTCCCGACGTACTCTTTTTCCTGTCGCATAATTCCTGCTTTTCTCTTGTGCGTACCCTTTTCTTCTGCCTTTTATCATTTATTAAGTTTAATAATAAATAGTAAATGATGAAAAGTTACACTTCATTGATCCTTGTGAGAAAATTTGAGTTACAATAGTAAACATACATTTGTAAATACATACTTAGAAATATACATATACTTACATAAATACACAATATTACATCAATACAGAGCAATTTCTCTGTGCAGCACCTTGGTTTTTTTTTAGTAAGGGCTGTTGTGTCTTGCTCAAGGACACACCCCAGTGATCACTTATCTAAACCTCGTATAAAAGGTGGCCTAGTGGTTAGGCTCTCGGACTCGCAACCGTAAGGTCGTGGGTTCGAATCCCGTCAGGGGCTCGACGTTGTGTCATTGGGAAAGGCACTTTGCACAAATTTTCCTCACTTCACCCAGGTGGAAATGGGTACCCGGCTATAGACAGTGAAAGATCTTATCAGTTTGATAGTGTTTGAGCGCGTGAAAACCGCAGCTTGCACTGTATGCTTCCGCGGAAGCCGAGAATGTTTCTGAGTGTTCTCAGAGGGTCTGCCGGGGTAATAATAGTTGTAAAGCGCATAGAGCAAGCTCATGAGCATGGATATGCGCTATATAAATGCAATTATTATTATTATTATTATTATTATTATTATTATTATTATTATTATTATTATTATTATTATTATTATAATTATTATTATTATTATTATTATTATAAAATACTTTTTTTTTGGTGTGTCGTTTGTTGACGTTTTGTCACAGGCGGTGACGGTTTCTTCATAATTCAATCTTTGCATGAACTGTAAAAATACAATCTTTCCTCCAGATGGAAACACACAACAATGGAGAATAAGATGAGGACCGAATCGTGCCCCTCGAGTATACAACACTTCCGTGGCGTCTAGACACGGTGAAAAAAACTGGACGGAGCGCGTTATAATAATATATCTGGCTGCTCTTTTTGTTGAACGCTGCACTCTACCTATCTTAGAACATTTCTACGAGCTCAAAGAAAGGAATTACTTCCTTTTCGTGACCCTCGACCTCATACGGAGAATTCAGAACATTCTTAAAAGCGAGCATAGTCTAACAGTCTGGAAAGAGGGCAAGTGACAGTTGTCCACCAGCACGGAGTCGTGACTACAACTACACTTAAAATGAATTAAGTGACCAGTATGCAGTGTATATCAACCAGGAGAAGTAACCAACAGCTATATACCAGGAGAAGTGACCGCTGTGTCTGAGATAAAAATTTAAAAAAGCGACCAGTATAATATGATCAATTAGGTGGGACCAGTGTGCTTAAAAACAGGAAGTGACCAGTGCCCATCAGCCAAGAGAGGTGACCACTTTTCACTAGTTGGACGTGGTGATCACTGTAATTAAGATAATAAAAGAGGCCAATGTGCTTTTACCACCATCCTTGAGGTTACGAAAGTAATCATTGCCGGTTATAAAGAAAATTTATCCAGGTGTCCACCTGATAGGAGCCGTGACCACAGTATTTAAGGCAAAGAAAGCGACCTGCGTCCATCATCATTTAGGAACCTTTTCCCACTATCCTTAAAGCAGAGGCAGTGTGCATATCTGCCTCAGAAGAAAAAAGAAACCAGTGTCCATCAGCCAGCACCAGCAGGAGTCTTTTACCAGTCTCCGGGACAGAAGCAGTGTCCAGAAGGGTCCCAGAAGAAAAGAAAAAGGCCAGCTCCCATCAGCATCATGCGTCTGTTCTTGCCGCAGTCGGTGACGTCAGAAGAGGCGGTGACGCCGCCGTTCCTGAGTGACCGCGAGGAGGACACGCGCCTGGCCCTGCTCAGGGACAGCACGATGCACGTGAAGGAGGGGAACCAGAGGCTGCCTACACCGGAGAAGGTTCGTTTGATAATATAATTATGCGCTGTCGTTGTTGTTGTTGTTTGTTTGTTGTTGTTGTTGGTGGTGGTGGTGGTGGTGGTGGTGGTTTGTTTTATGTTTGTTTGTTGGGGGGGGGGGGTCGCTATCATAATCATCACCATCATTATCTGTAGCAGCAGCAGTTGCATTATCATCATCATCATCATCATCATCATCATCATCATCATCATCATCATCATCGTCATCATCATTGTCCCCTAAAATGGTCTTGTTTCAAACTCATTCTCTTTATTTATTTATTTATTTATTTATTTATTTATTTATTTATTTATTTATTTATTTTTATTGTTTATATATATTCTTTTTATTTATTAGAAGGCCTACGTTCTTATAATTTTAGTTTTTTGACGGTGACGGTTTTTAGTTTAATTATAAGTGACCATAGGATCTATAACTGCATTCGTTCTTTTAGGAACATTTACGAATTATTCGTGGAAAAGAGCTTTAAAATATATTCAGTTTTTCTACTTTCCCTTGAATATATAATTGCAATGTTGGTCCGCTACTTTCCCTTTAGTTTACGTTGGTATATTTTCATGAAACAGAAAGCAATAATGGAGTTGTCGTCGAGTTTCGAAAAAAGGAGACTCGGAAAACAGCAGCAGATCCTCTCGGAAATGACGCAACGATGTCGGGAACAGGAAGTGACGGACTTGTCGTCCAAGATCACGGCCAAGTGCGACCTAAAGACACACGGGCGAGGCCTGCACCTGAACACAGCCAGAGACAACACGTTCTACTCCACCACCAGCACATTCAAAGGCAGCAAGCACAGGCTCTCGGACGTACAGCTGGAAGCTTTAGACACGGGTTAGTTCTTCAAGTTAAGAAAGAATGTACGGTCTAATTCTCTCTCATATTTATATTTTGTTTGATTTCGAAGATTGTATCCATATTGGTTGGGGGTATGATGAAAGTTACACCAAAATGTTTGGCTCAAGACAGTTATCCTTTATGGACAGACGGCCGTTAGACAAGGTTCGACTGTACTTTAAAATTTTGCCACAATTTCCTTTGTCTCAGTATATAGCTGTTCCCTGTTTAGATACTGACGCTGACGGGGACTTATTTTTTCGTTGACTTTTTGGTTTGGGGGGGGGGGGTGGTTGGTGATGTTCTTGGGGGGGGGGGGTCGTTTGTTTGCAGTTGTTTTTTTTTGTAATCGAGCCGACTATTGGAGTTTTGTAACGTTGTGTGAGCTAATGCTTTGTTTCCTTTACAGGATGATAAACTAGCACTTCTATTTAAAACAAATAATATTCGACGTTGAAGAAGTCATTATCAACCCCCCCCCCCCCCGGCCTCCTCCCCATGTTCCACTTATAAAGGACAAAACAGGCACATTTTACGTCCATCCGCTGTGATGGGTTCATTACCCTAGAGTATTGTTCGTTCGGCCATTCTGAATGCTTTCTAGTTGACTATTAACTCATTTCCCTTTTCTTAATAAGTTGACATCTATTCATCCAATGTATTTCTTGCTAGAGCTGCCTCCTATATAGCATATTAGTATTAAAAGAGGCATAACGTATGCTAGCCGTGCAGTTTCGGCATTGAGAAGAATAGGACTGACGTGGTGTTAGCGTGTCGTACAAGGCGACTAAATGGCGAACCAGGTAGTGACTCCTGAAACAGAGTCATCCTGCCTCCAGGTCGGGGGTTGAGTCACGAGGCTAACAACCTCTCTCGTAAAAAGAACCTGTTACAGAAACACATACAAGCAAAAACCATTATATCTGCTTGGCTGATCGTGGATCTTCTCCAAATGGAGAGTTTATGATGCAAGGCAGTGAAAGCCGAAAGGAAGCTGCTCGGCAGAAGCCTCCACCATCATCCAAGTCCAAGTCTCTTCGGATCGGCTCGTGGAACGTTAGGACCCTTTATGAGGCTGGAAAAACTGCACAAGTTCTCCACAAAATGCACCGATACCAACTACACATACTGGGAATCAGCGAGACCCACTTGAACCAGTCTGGACAGAAGCGAATGAAAGAGGGGGAGCTCTTCGTTTATTCAGGAAATGACAGTGATGGACCACACAGGGAAGGAGTAGGGATGATGATATCAAAAACAGCTCAAAAGACATTCAGGGGCTGGGAAGCACATGGCCCAAGGATCATCATGGCCTCATTTGGAACTAAGAAAGAACTCAAGGTAAGAGATGGTAGGAAGAAGGTCATTAACATGAACATCATACAAGTGTATGCTCCAACCAATGATGCAGAAGTGGAGAATAAAGATAACTTCTACAACCGCCTGCAGAACGTCATCGACAAACTTCCAGGTAAGGGCATCAACATTGTCATGGGAGATCTAAATGCAAAGGTAGGTTCGGACAATAGTCACAATGAGGAAATCATGGGCAGACACGGATTAGGAGAGGCAAACGACAATGGAGAAAGGTTCCAAAACTTTTGTACATTCAACAACTTGGTCATTGGAGGTACAATCTTCCCACACAAAAGGATTCACAAGGCCACTTGGGTCTACCCGGACGGAACAACGGAAAACCAGATCGACCACTTTTGCATCTCCCGAAAGTTTAGACGCTCACTGGAGGACGTCCGAGTCTTACGAGGAGCAGACGTCGCATCAGACCACCATTTGATCCTTGGAAAGCTGAAACTAAAACTGAGAAGATATGCACAAGTTGCCGCTGGAAATCGTCTAAAGTATGAAGTGAGCCTTCTGAAAGACCCAGTAAAGAAGAATGAGTTCAAGTTGGAACTGAAGAACAGATTCCAAGCCCTTCAAGATCTGGATGAATGTGAAGTCAACGAACACTGGGGTAAGTTAAGAGAGGCAGTAAAAGCAACTTGCCAGAGCACCCTAGGACCCAAAGACAACTCCAGGAATGAATGGATTTCACAGGAATCTCTAGACAAAGTCAAAAGTAGAAGAGAACTGAAGGCCCAAGTCAACAACAGCAGTACACGAACTGAGAAACTCGCTGCACAACAAGAGTACACTGAAGTAAACCGGGAGGTAAAGAATTCCATCAAGAATGCTACCTGAATGGCCTGGCCGAAAAGGCAGAGAAAGCAGCAACAGACGGGCACTTGAGGATTGTACACCACACTACAAGAACTCTTTCAGGTAGGTTCAGCAAGCCCACTCTACCAGTAAAAGACAAAGAAGGAAAGACTATCTTCAACCCAGAGGGGCAACTTAACCGATGGAAAGAACATTTTGATCAACTACTGAACAGACCACCTCCAGAAAACCAACCAGAAATTCTTCCAGCCAGAAATGACCTCCCAATAGATACGGAACCACCTTCAAGAGAGGAAATTGCAGCCGCTATAAAAACACTGAAGTCCCACAAGGCAGCTGGTCCCGACCATATACCACCGGAAGCCCTTAAGGCAGAGAAAGATACGTTTGTGGAAATTCTATATGCTCTATTTGGAAAAGTTTGGCAAAAGGAGGAAATACCATCAGACTGGAAGGAAGGCCACCTAATCAAGCTGCCAAAGAAGGGGGACCTCAGCAACTGTAACAACTACAGAGGCATTACACTCCTTTCCATACTGGGGAAAGTCTTCAACAGGATACTCCTGGAGAGAATCAAGCTGGCAACGGATGAGAAGCTTCGAGGAAACCAGGCAGGATTCCGCAAAAACCGATCATGTGTGGACCAGATCGTTACTCTACGTATCATTGTTGAGCAATCGCTTGGATGGAATTCACTACTCGTGGTCAACTTCATTGAATATGAAAAGGCGTTTGACAGTGTGGACAGGGAAACTCTGTGGAAACTCATGCGGCATTTTGGAATACCTGAGAAAATCGTCAAGCTTGTGAAGGCCACCTATGATGGAACAAGCTGCCAAGTCTTCCACGAAGGACAACTCTCAGAACCATTCTGGGTACAGACAGGAGTGCGACAAGGATGCTTGCTCTCACCTTTTCTCTTCATACCAATTGACTGGGTTATGAAAGAAGCCACCAGAGGCAAACGTAATGGAATACAATGGATCCCTTGGCAGCAGCTGGACGACTTGGACTTCGCCGATGACCTTGCACTGCTCTCTCACACACATGCTCAGATGAAAGAAAAGACCAAGGAACTCAACAGCCTATCAAGGAGTGTTGGCCTACGTATACATCCAGGCAAGTCAAAAGTAGTGAAGCTAGGAAAAGTTTCAAACCTTGCTGTGACAGTGGAAGACACTCCCCTTGAAGAAGTGGATTCCTTTACCTACCTTGGAAGTGTCATCGATGGTAAAGGTGGAACCGAGGCAGATGTTAAAGCAAGAACCGCCAAGGCAAGGTCAGCCTTCAAGCAATTATCAAAAGTCTGGAAAGCAAGCAACATCTCACTGCGCACCAAGATTCGACTTTTTAACTCCAACGTCAAGTCTGTGCTCCTCTACGGCTGCGAAACTTGGAAGACAACGAAGACAGTACTGAATAAGGTCCAGACTTTCATCAACAGATGTATGAGGAGTATTTTAAGAATTAAGTGGCAGGAAAGAATAAGAAATGAAGAGCTGTGGGAAAGGACACGACAAAAGGATATAGAAGTAGAAATAGGACTAAGAAAGTGGCGATGGATGGGACACACCTTAAGAAAGCCCAGCGGAAACATCACAAGACAGTCACTGCAGTGGAACCCACAGGGAGCACGAGGCAGGGGTAGGCCACGGGAAACATGGAGGACATGAGAGAAATGAAGCTCACTTGGAACGAGCTTGGGAGGATGGCTCAGGACAGAGATAAATGGAAGGAGCTTGTATGTGGCCTATACCCTGCCAGGGGTGAAAGGCATTGATGATAACGTATGCACAGTGTTATGCTCAATGTCAGGATTACGCTATTGTGCTTTATTTCATAACAACAAAACTATGGAAGCTAAACGGGGATCTATAATGAACCTTTAATTCTAAAGTTATTTTGATCCCATCTCTTTGTTGTGTATGGGGTTTACAAATTGCTAAAGGGTTATTTACTCCGAGAAAAAGAAAAATGAATCTACCGTCAATGCTTCTGTAGATACTTTTTAAATATGAAGTTTCGGAAGTGTAGGAACAAATTTTGAACAGATGCGTTTCTGAAACGTATCCCTGTGGTGCTTTCTAATTCATACAATTTATAGTACTCCCCCCCCCCCCCTGCCCCTGTTGATGATTGAACCAATCCTCTTTGTCAAACTACAGTCTGTCATCTGGTCTCAACATCCTCATGCTTTTTTCAGGAACGTTATCCCCGGACGGGAGCAGGAAAGTGAACGCGGAGAAGACGTACAAATTCTTCCCAGCCCGCCACATCATGAGACAGCAAACCAAAACAAACTTCCTGACAGGAAGCCAAGCAGCCAAAATCGCCACAGTGAACGTCCCGAGAAACCTGCGACGATCCACCGAGTACTACCTGGACAGCCACAGGTCTCCGCGCTACAACAGCCTGGCTCACGGCCTGGACGCCGGGGACAGCTCCAGACGTTTCCCACCGCCAATACATCAACACCCGGCCCAGGTCATAGCCGCGAAACCCGAGACGTTGGCGCCGTTAGTGTTGCCCAGATTGGGCATGGTGAGCATGGCGTACCAGGACAGGATTGACTCCTACATCTCCTCCAGTCGTCTGGCGACGGTCCCGCGCACAAAGACGATTTTGGACACGTCATCCGTGAGTGGGCGAAGCTACAACAGCTTGCTCAACTTCAATTCTTCCAAGCGAGAGGCCACCTTGCACGGCCACGACAAAGGAGACCATTCATTGGTTAACATTAAGCAGATGCCCGACGATGACTTGACCAGCATGGGTTCCGTGGTGGGCCGTGGCTTTGGAAATAGCGCGGACAATCTCATTGGCTGTCACAACGACCAATAAGAATGAGAGTTACGTGGGCTCTACGTAGAACTGTCGTGAAGGATAAAATGCAGCTGGTTATCTTACAGGGGACTTTCTTTTAAAAGAGGGGCAGTGTGCCATTGGCCATGCAGGAGGCTGAGGACAACCAACTGACAAACTCTCTGAACTAATCAAAGTTGAAAGGTTTTTAAAAAGCATTAGCCAAACGTGAGCTAATGAATGAAGGACATGTGGCATGTTTTAACTGTCGTCAGTTGAATATGCGATAAGAAATCTTAACTTTGTTTCTAATAACGTCACAGAGTCTGTGGGAGCCGGGTTTGTCGAATGCCAAACTTGTCGTTCGTGAATTTCAGTATGTGAGCGTACTGTTGGTGCTGTCTGTTGCTTCGTGACGGCGCTTCAACAATTTCTATAGCTGTTATAGACTTTTACCTCTAGACTGCGCATTGCCATGACCGCCACTAGCACTCTTGTTCCCTATGAAAACTTTTCTGCGAAGCGTGTGAGTCACTGACTGTACCATTACACCCAAAATGATGGGCAAAACACCAGTCTCGCGCTGCTCGAGCGTACTCGAAACTTTTCCTCACGTGTCCTTCTAATTATGTAAAATGGTGCGCTCCATAGTTAACCAGATATACGTCAGACTGCACCATCTATGACATTGTCGAACAAGTGTATGATGAGTGTTCGGATGACCATAAAAGAATCAATCTGGATCTCACACAAACACAGCTCAACGCCCCCCCCCCTCCCCCTTTCCCACCCCATACCCTCGTCTCACGCTCACGCTCATCTTTGTTGCTGTAATACGTATAAAAAGGACGCTCTCGTTTTTCTTGTGGTTTGGATATTTCTAGTATTTGTGATACTATAGACATGAACACTCGAACGCGAGACTTCTTCTCGTGTGCATGTTGTCCAGTGTGATGGTAGGGAACTTATCCAGCTACCTTTTGATGCTTTCTTCAGACACGTTCCTTTTCGATAGTGTGGACAAAGTAACACCGAGTAGTGAATAAAAACAAGAACTAGTACAAGCAGCTAGATCTTCCTTGCAATAGTGAAAATGCTAATTGCATAAATTGCATTTGTATAGTGGAGTCGCTATTGAGGAGCCGAAAAAGACAACGACCATCTTTCCGTGGATTTTTGTGGTGAATGTTATTTTCATTATCATTATCAATATCATTATCAATATTATAATCATTATGCTCTTGTCGTCTGTTTGTTAGGGTTTTTTGTTTTCTTTTTGGTGGTGTGGTGTTGTTGTTGGTATTATTTTTATTACATATGGTGCCATTATAATCATCATTGTTATAGTATTAATACTACCATTATTGTATTGTCGTAATCATCATCATCATCATCATCATCATCATCACCATCATCATCATCATCATCATCATCATCATCATCCTCATCATCATCATCATCATCATCATCATCATCATCATCATCATCATAACTATTTTGTTATTACATTACTTCCATCATCACCATTGTGACTGATCATCATTATCATTATTATCGTTAGAATCGTTAGCATTGTTATCAAACCCGGGTGATAAATATGGGGTGTTTCTCATCGCTGTTACCAGACGCAGTCTCAACCACGAGCAGTCATTTTTTGGTGTCCATATAATACTCTGCAGATTATAAGTTGTAGCTATCATTTAATGTTAATAACTGCTCGTGTCTGAAGAAGCAGTAGTAGGTGGCTCCTCCGATCAGGCACTCTTTCTTCCACACTGAGGCCCATGATTTCTGTCTGACGTGACAATGAAATCTTGCTAAGGAATACGGAATGGTGAACTTTACGGTTTCATTTATAACCTCATTGGTTCTGTCCGTGTAGTTTTTGTTGGGTTGCGGTTTTCTTTTTTTTTAAGTTGTTTTGAATTTGTGTGAGGCGTGTTTGTTTGTTTGTTTGTTTGTGTTTGTTTGTTTGTTTGGATTTTAGGGGCTTTTGATTGTATTATTTTGTTTTGTTCCGTTTTAATTTTGTTTGTTTTTGCCCCTTGTCTCTTTTGGGCGGGGGGGGGGGGCATGTTTTGTTTTGTTTTGTTCTTTTATTGTTTTTTTACGCTGTAGCTTTTTCCTTTTTGTTTGCTTTCCTTTTGAGAGGTTTCATGGGCGATCGTTACAGTTTTCAACTGAATAGTGGTGCTGGAAGCTAGAGATTGACAAACCTCGCATAATTCATTAAAACGTTGCATATTTTAGCTTAACGTTTTGGTTTCGAGCAAGGTCAGTGAAGATATATAGCTGTTGCTGGTAAGTCATTAAATATTCTAATTGTTTTTAAAAGACAAATTTCTCGGGTCTTTCGGGCTATTTTCTTGTCAAGGAGCTATTTGGGACGAGTGAAAAGATTCCTGTTTTGGATATACTGGCATCTGTGGTATAGAAGTTACAGCCTTCGCATTTGTACACAGAAGACGTGAGTTCGATTCTCAAGCTGGGAATTTTTTTTTCAATTTTTTTTTT